AAATAAAGTTTTTGTTGTTTCAGTTCTCAAACCATTAAACTCAACGCGTTATTTTCCTTATGCGTCTACATCTTCTTCCGAATTATTTGCCCCATTGCACCAGCACTATGTTCGGTCTTTCTATAAATATGTAGAAAGTTCTCTGCAATAAAGCTCATGCTTATGAGCTCAAATGCGTAGGAAGGATTCATCCGCAAAAATTGCCAGAGGCTTCACTTCTGGCGTGTAGTAAAGTTTTCGTTGGCGGGTGATTAGAATTGTACAGTGAACTGCCTAACTATCCTACCCAGATCATATTGAAAAAAAAAATCACAAAAATCAATCGCACTTGCTGTCAATCAAAGTGCAATTTTCAAACATTTGTACCATCTCGAAAACCATGACGCTAATGTCAAATCTGGTGTCCATTTTTGTCTTTGAAATAGAAGCGCGCCAGCCATCGAAGCTCCTCATTAAGTTCTCCCCCGCATACAGTAAATGTCTGTACAGTGTACGAGTTTGTTATCATTGCACCTAAGTCCTGGAATTTCGACTTCTTTTGCAATTGATTTGTTTGGCTCCGATAAGTCATAATTAAAGGACCCGTCATACTTCCCCGAAAAAAAGCCAAAAAAAGGCCCGAAAAAGCCGAAGAAAAGCCCGAAAAAGCCGAAAAAAGCCCGAAAACGCCCAAAGAAGCCCGAAAAAGCCCAAAAGCGCCAGAAGGAGCCGGAAGGCCCCCATCCCGTTTTGTCGCTAAGGCATGGTGTTGATTTTGCAACCAAGTCTTTTTGCTTCATTTTCTGCTGTCTGCACATCAAAATAACGTCAGAATTCTGACATGATATCGTCTACGTTCCGGCTCATTCGAGCTTTTTCGGGCTTTTTTGGGCTTTTTCGGGCTCTTTCGAGATTCTTTGGGCTTTTTCGGGCTTTTTTGAGCACTTTTGGGCTTTTTTCGGCGAAGTATGACGGGTCCCTAAGAAATTGCTGCCTTAAAATTGCGGCAGCTTTAACAGTAAGGTTTTTTCGACGTACAGCTCCAACACATAAAATTGCTACCGCACGTTCGGGATTGCATCCTATAAATCGAAGCAATTAGAATTTAAAGGTTATTTCGGGCCATAATTCGTACGCGATTTAGTAACTGTTAAGTCATAAAAGAAGTTACATTTGATGCGTTGTAAGCGAAAGCACTCTTTGTTTGCCAGCTGTCCCAATGCAACATTTGAAGGAACAAAACCAAAGATTTGAAGACAACAAAATAGAACAATGGTTTGTCAAAAAAAACACCGTCAGTCTCCGATCGGCTGAAAAGGAAAAAAATGGAAAGGGAAGGGAACAGGGGAAGTATCGGAAAACAAAAGCCCAAGATAGCTTTGGTGATGTTAGAAACCTAAACCAACGTGACGGATTCATCAATATTCCGTTCATTAATCATAAGTAAGAAAGCAATTCACTTTTCCACTTTCATGCATTTTGTTTCTAATGTATTTCTAGGTGGATGGTTACGTTGATGGTTACTGTATTGCTCGTAATTGTCACAATAACAGTCAGAGTTGCAAAGGAAATCAGCTAGTACACACTGTGTACTGCTACCTTTTAGAGAGCAGACAAAGGTAAGGATATGATAGCTAAGGTTATTGGAATATTCAACCTTCAACCATCTTGACGACCTGACATAACCAAAAAAAAATACCAGGACTTAAGATATCATGGTAGGACCCTTCAATTCGTGGAATTTTCCAGAAGAAGAGATAATCGTTCTTAGAGGCAAAGTTTAGGCAAGTTTGGGGTTGGGTTTTTTTTGGCTGGAAAACTGATAAGGGAATCTTTGCTAAGGCACTGCCCGAGCGTAAATGATTCATTTACGGCTGAAATTTCATTCCCAAACATCGCGCCTGCCCTTTTATCGTAACGACTTAGGATGGGTCCCTGCGCGAACGTAGTGTTAAAATGAGCGAAGTCATTTTCGGGTTACGGCCACAGCGCGAGGCATTAAGGGATTCGTTGCTGATTTTTCAGCCTGAATAAATCGTTTGTGCTGCTGCTTGAGCAGTGCCTTACTTAGGACCCCTTTATCAATTTTTAGGCAAAAAACGCGTATCTCCAGAGTTGCGTGGACACTGCCCTCAAGTGTGCAAAATCTTGTATTTCTTCTTGAAATCACCCCTACCACTGTTGATTCCGCTTGCGGATCGTGCTAGGTAGCAAGGACCACCAAAAAAAGTACCTTTTGTCGTCGAAGGAGAGTGCAAGAGAAAGCGGAGTAAAGGATTTCTGATGGGAAAAAGGCAAGAATCCAGCAGACGAGATATATATAGGAATGGCAAGATACAGTAGCAGGTCGAGTATGGATAGGTTGGATATCCCGTAAAATCTTACGAAAAAATTGATATTACACTAGTTAGACCTTTAAGTCGATCTTTTTCTGTTCGAGATTTACAAAGCTGAATTCAAAGTACTCTTGTCAAAGATGATGTGAAATATAATTTGCGGACATTAGCAGCTCATTCAATTTCACAAAACCGCGTAAAATACGCAATATTTCTATGACGCTACACTCTAACAAGGGAATGAAGTTTGGTCAAAGTGGTCCTTTGAAATGAGGTGTACACTTCCTTGTAGAGCTTGGAACGCTGATTCCAAATCTACCTTTGCTCTCTGCTGCGGGCTTCTGGGCGAGGAGTTATTGAAGGTTTTTGCGAGTAAAAATCTGAATGCAAAAATAGGTTAAAATCACTCGTAATCTTTTCCCAGTGTTCAAATGAGGCAGCAGGTATGCTTGAATCGGGAATATTTGTTGCACCGAGTGACCCGACTACCAATTAAGCCTTATACAAAATGTTACGACTGATTTTAGCCTACTCTTGCAATCAGATTTTTACTCACAAAAACCTTCATAACTCCTCGCTCAGAAGCCCGCAGCAGATAGCAAAGGTAGATTTGGAATCAGCATTCTGACCTCTACATGGCAGTATATATCTCAACTCGAAAGGCCACTTCGGCCATCCTTCCTTTCCTTGTAAAACTCACCCGTCCTTTCCTCTTTTTTATAAGTTTGACAAGCTTTCCAGGTTTGTACGTAGAATCCCTCCTTGCAAAATCGAGGCAAGAAGTGCCTTCCACCTCTTCTAAGTTGAGCGGGAATACTGTAGCTTTGATGTGCACTTGAGAAAGGCATTGATAAATTACATGACAATTTGTTTGAAAGTAAACATTAAAAAGAGTGATGAGAAAGATCAGGAGGAAAGCTACGAGATATGGATTACAATAATGTGTGTTCATTTACATTTACGATAAATGAACCACTATCAAGAATCTGTTGTTAAAAAGTAACATACTTCTGATGTATTCTTAGCAAAAAAAACAAATATTTTTGTGAATTTTAATGATTTAAATATTACGAATATAAAAATTGTGATACTTATTTTTTTTATTTTTCTAGATTTTCGCGGCAGATGCGTTGGTGTTGACAACCCTTTCTATAGGTTTTCACGAGCTAATTCTTAACCTATACAAGCGGCTATGGTTACGAAACCAAATTTTGCGCTATCATGCTTTCCCAATTTCTGAATTTCTTCTACTGATCTAAATCTGACCTTGAGTAAGCCAAAATGAGACAAAAATCTGTAGGAGAATGTGATACAGCTAATCACTCTTCTTTGTTTGTTTTCGTTGCAGAGTCAGAGATTGAGCACAGCTCTTGATTTCTCGTGCATACAAACACTTGTAATAGTCTGCATTCGAGTTGAAGTAAAACTGTCAGAAGTGTATGTTCCACGCCACTTTACATAACAGACTTTCTTTTACTAAATTTCAATATTTGTAATCCGAAAAGTTCAAGTTTGAAGTTTTGACTAGAAAACTGCAGCAAATGCTCGAATCCCTAAGATTTGAAATTTATCTAGCAAACAAGCGTACTAAAAATTCATTGCTAGCAGGACTCACGATCTTGATTAACTATAAAACTATATTCACTTCATTTGATTCCGAGTCCGCTTTAAATGTACTACATCTTTGAAATACTCCTTTCATAATTTCGAGGATCTCAACACCTCTCATGTTCGCATTTGGCACAATTTTTTGCAAATTATTTGAGGCTCCTTTTCCGATAACCGTCGAAAAACTGTCCCAGTTATGTGTTTTTTGCTTTCACAGATTTTGAAAAAGCAGCGAAAATAGATGTTTTGAAAAAGAGCAAAAAAGCTAGATTTTGCAAGTGATGTACTCCAAAATTAGATATACGATCTCTCAAAAAAATTGTTTAGCACATATCATGGTGAAAATTTTCGAATCAATGCAGCTCATCCATCTCTTCTCGAACTCTAAGCTCTATGTGATGTTTGTGGAGATTTTGAGGCTATTCGCGGAACACTTGGAAGCATATCCAAATTTTAGCTTTCCATGTTCTAGTCATTCTGGGGCCTTTCCGTGGCCCCATTTGCGGTTACGAATCTTAAAATATGCAAAGCCCAAAAAATTGACTTCTGGGAGCCCTATCCGAGGGCCTAAAGCGGGCTCTTGCTACGAGGGTGGGCGGAGTTTGATAGGACTTGGGCGTGGCTTGATAGCACTTTCGCGGTCCTAGGCCCATTATCTCTATTCAGAGACAACATTGGAGGACCGGACCATGCAGATGCCCCTCTATAGGGGCCTATTAGGATAGTTACTATTTGGAAAGAGTTGAATTTAGCCTGGACGCTGCCTTTAAGCTTGAAACTGTTTTTCAAAATAGGGTGGACGCAGTTCGGAGGATGGGGGGAGGGGGGGAGCTGTTGAAAGTGGGCGTTTCTTCAATACATTAGTCCCTTTGTTTACAACTTTCCAAAAAAAAATGAAAATGACGACTCTTTACATCTTGCAGGTTATGTCTACATTCACAGACAAACGTTTGCTCTCGAAAACTTTACAGTATCCCATACATCACGCAAAAATGCATGTTTTCCACTTCAATGCACAGGAGTCACGCGATATTTCGAGATCCGGAAGCCCGAGATCCAGCATTGAGCTGCTTCTTTGCGTGTGCTTAACGCGCACTCCACCTTCGTCATGAGTGTAAAGGTAAACTGTGACGGGGGCCCCCGCTGCCTGAGAAGAGGCTAAGAGCAACGACAGCGCCTCAGAGCTCTCAGAGCAACAGTCACTGTGCATTGCATTTGTCTCTAGTGAACACTAATCCTCGACATTTGACAACATGGTAAGTGTAGAGCTTTTCTAACCTCGTAACTAACCCCTCATTCAAATTTGGAAATTTTGGTAAGGTCAATTGCTTACAAATCTAAAGCTGAGAAGATCGGGTTACGCGTATTATCCTTTATGTAATAGAGCTTTTTTTAAAACTTTGTCAAAAGGTTTTTCAACGCGTTTGACATTCCTTTTTTCTGGAATCTAATGATTCAATCAAATTTTTGAGGTACTTAGTCTAAGAAATTTTGATCAAAACAAACAGGAGCGAAACCCAAGAGTTTACTGCACGCTTATTTGTGATTCAATATATCAAATTTTTTATTTTCTCAGTTACAATAGAGCGCACACATTCGAGAATGTTAGATCTTAGAATCATAAGCAATCTCATGATAGATTTCGATGTAGTCGCTACATATGTGAATATTGCGCATAAATACTGAATTTCCAGAACCAATCTCAAAATGGTTTTTTTCCATATTCTTAATTTTATTTGAAGAGTTTTGATGGGTCAAGCACTGAAATGACAATAATCTATAGAATTGCATAATCATGTTTGGATTCCTTTGTATCTCTTAACACAAATGTACAGTAATATCTTTAAACGAAAGAAAAGCTAGAGGAATTAGGGGAGACTCAAACTACAAAAAAGCAAGTGTTCTAAAATCTTTGAGCAGTGACTACTCCATACTTCACATTATCATACTTCCAACTATGTAGTAGTAGAAAAAAAATACGAAAAGATGGAGTTGAACCCGCGTTTTAGCAATGAGATGTTCTTTCATTAGCCAGTACAGTACCATCTGTAAATTATTTCAGATAAAGTCAACTTTGATGCATATGACCACTGTTTTCGAACTAAGGGAAAATGGAACTGCAACTGTGCAATCAGTTGGAAAAAGTTTTTCCAAATCTATCGAAAAATTAAAGCCACTTCCTAATGCGCCAAGCTTGGTCTAATTTATTTTTGTTAGTAAAAATAAGGACCCAAGTGACTTTAGAATTGCTTGAGTTTCAAAAAAAAAACTCTGCTCTTTTGAAATCAAGTTTTTCATTTTACATCACTAAACTGTGGTAAGATTTCCTCTTATAAAAAAAGCTCTGTAGTACGCGTCTATTTAGTTAAGGTAGAAAATTTTTTTTTGCATTTGCAAGATCTGCGCTTAAAAAAACCTAAGAATCATAGAGGATCTTTTATTTTAGGGTGACGCTGTTGCCGATGCATTGGAACAGCTCACAGCTGATCAAATCGAACGTAAGTATGTTTGACTTCTTTGATTTCTTTTTCCTAAACTTCTACGCGGCTTCACAAAAGATTTTAAGAATTCCGAAAATACTTCAACATGTTCGATAAAGAAAACAAAGGCTATATCAAAGCTACACAGGTGGGCTTTTTTCGTTTCGCGTGACATATGCGACAAACATCATTTCTATTTTAGGTTGGACAAATTCTTCGAACTATGGGACAGGCATTCGAAGAGCGTGATTTGAAACAACTCATCAAAGAATTTGACACTGATGGTAAGGGGTTAAGACGCAAAATATCATACAGTTTGACCCCAGAGATATATTTTGCGTTCTTCAAGGCTCTGGTGAAATTGAGTTCGAAGAATTCGCAGCTATGGTGGCCAATTTTGTGGTGAACAGTGAGGACAATGAGGGTCTGGAAGAAGAGCTTCGCGAAGCATTCCGACTTTATGATAAACAGGTAAGAGTATAGTCGCAAGAGAACTGATCTTTTGACAAAAAATCACAAAAATGGTTCTAACAATAATAATTTTCAAATATATTATTTTGCTCCTAATCAAAAAGCTTATCATTACCATATCTTTTCGTTTGAAAAACATGATAAACAAGTAAAAGCTATAATAAATTCAAGCTCAACTTTTAGCAAAAATTCACAAATTTTCAAGAAATGCGCCTTTTTTTCTTATCGAAACATTCATAATATTACAATATTTCTTCAATTCATCATCCTAAGCTATGCTCTTTTTTCACCTTGGTAAAGTGTTTGCACACTTTGCCGACAAATTTTTTCATGAGAATTTCTTTTTGTACACAAACATTTGCACTGTCGAGTGTGCCGCCTTTGTTGATATAACTGTGTAATGTAATGCGTCTTCTTTGAGTGTGGACGGCAAAAAAATAGGAGGTGAGGGAGGGAGAGGCGGAGAGGGGGGGATTTGGTAGATTTAAGTAGGTTAGGAGCGTAAACGAATTAACAGAAAATGTAATTGCTTGTCTTTCCTTACCACATACTGCAACATCTTCGAGGTAGAACCTAGAAATACACGAGGTTCATAATTTGACATGTGAGCCTGCACATTGCGCGCGGCAACCGACGACACTTGATGGTAATTCATCACTAAAACCTTTTCTGAGAACAATTTGTAGAATTGTCTACTAATGTCTGATACCCAATCAACCCAAAAAGAAGAAAAATTAGGAATTCCTGGAAAACAGAAGCTTCTAAAGTTACTAGTCGTGAAGTGGCGCGCATGGTGTGCAATGCGCATATCATATTACATTTGACTCAATCATCTTACCACCGCGCAATTGCATAAAGGCAGCATCCACCCAAAATTTTGCCTCTCATGTTTTTGCCATTCCGTGGCATTTCTGTGGCCCTGATTACATTTATAAAGTTTAAATTCTCCAACATCTCCAAAAAACACGATTTCTGGGGACCCGTCTTAAGAGCGCGGACGGCTTTCGGTACACGAGTGGGCGGAGTCTGATAGGATTTGGGGCGGGGTCTGATCGGGGGCTCACATTCGGATCGACCGTAATCGGAGGGGTCACAAGCCTGGACTGAATTTAGCCGACAAACAATTTAAGACTACAAAATCATTCAAACTTCATGTTTAGGGTAACGGCTACATCAATGTCTCCGATTTGCGAGACATTCTACGAGCTTTGGATGACAACGTGAGTGAGGAAGAATTGGACGAAATGATCGCTGAAATTGACACAGATGGAAGTGGAACAGTCGACTTCGATGGTAAGGGCTCGACACACTTTGTGCAAAAAGCAGATAATGGCTATTCTTTTAGAATTCATGGAGATGATGTCTGGAGAATAAGAAACGTGCGGCCTGCTTTTCATTCTTTCGTAAACCTTTTGTAGCACTGTTCAAATGTATTGTCGATGTACGTGATAAAATATTGAAAAAGGCAATCAATAAAAACAGTATTTGGTGAGAAAATCTATCAAAGTGTGACACCAAGTATATAAAGTACAACAATCAAGCACATTGATTTCTTTGTTTTATGCTTACGAATAAAATCTTGAAGCGCTCATAACTTATTGCGTGACTTTCAGATGTTAACAACATTCGATTCCGATGGTAAATTCCCCGCTGACTTTTTGCTATTTACATCGTCCTGGTGGTGTTTCCACTGCAAGAATTTTTGCAGAAATTGGGATTTTAAGTCAGTTAGGATTGATTCTCCATGATATGGAATCCAAAATCAGCCAAACTAAGACTGGATATGTGCTTCCTCCGAATTTATCACCTATATACCATTAAAAAGGTATATAGGTGTTATTATTATTATGAGCCACTTAATCTGTCACGAAAACACGTGAGGAGTGAATGATTTACAATACTTCAAAGCATGAAAGAGTTGCACCAATTTAGTTCAGAAGTCACATTTTTAGCGGAAAAATCAAAGAACAAGTTGACAAAATCTTTAATGTGGAAAAGATCGGGTCTTTTTCGAAAGTTCAACAACTTGGACATTGTTCTAACCACATGCTTGCGATCAACAGTGTTGAGTAAGCTATGAACACATCTCCTTTCAATTTCGTAGGAATTTAGTTGAACCGAGAGCCCAAAGTGAGAGGTCGAAAATTTGAGATTTTACGAAATTATTGAAACTTGTGATTTAGCGGCAGCGGCACAACAGCGTGCATTAGTTCGGTATGATCGTACTTAAATATGGATAGCATTTACAAATGCGCTTTTTTTTGAAGCGGAGAGGGAAATCCAAAGATAATTGTATTGCTTTCCACTCTTTTTAACGCCGAAACGTCGAATGAGTATGCCTATTTTTTTCTCATAAAGAGTGCTCACGTTAGTAACCATTCAATGAGGATAACTCTAAGTTTTTATCGTAAAGACATCTAAAAAGGAATTTTTCACACAAAGGATCCTCCGCTGAAGTAATTGGCGTTTCTAAATTTAGAATAAGCGTACGTGGGTGAGATGTGACACGCATGGTTGTAAGAATTTGAAATAAGGAAACAGTGCACACACCAGAGAACTTGGAACTTAGTGGAGCTAAAAACTTGAAAAAATTTCAGAAAAGGGATAAGCTCTTGCGTTCGTCTTATTTGGTCAAATTTCCACATTAGAAACTCAGTTTTGCGCCTGTGCAAAAGCGTATTATTTTCTATGTTGGCTTCGAATTAGTTTCTTGCGGCGTTAGTGCTAAGCTAGTCTTCCAAGTAAAGACAGAAGTGGTGGCTAGAAGAATGACAAAAGATTTACACTTCGCTAAGTTGATTAGTACCTGAGCGGGTTTTTTTTGCATCTGGCTTTTTGACCCACCCAAACTCTTTACATAGAGCTTTTACAACCGAAGAAAATAGTAGGCTTGGTAAAGTACTACTCCTTTCATAATTCTTAAAGTGATTTGAATGGGTGAGTGACTCTTCATACGATGAGCAATTCCGAGGTGCGAGATGTTCTCTCACCTTCGCGTCTTGTACACCTGTAGATAGGGGAGGAGGGAGGGACTTTTCATACGGTTGTTCCCACTTCATTCTGACCTTTTAATGATTCAATATTGGCACAATACCAGGTTTTAGCCGGCTGGTTCCATTCCGAAATGAATTATCTGGAGTAGTTTTTGCGTACCGCGAAGTCGGGGAAGGGAAAATTGCTCCCTCCCTGATTTTGCGGTGAAAAAAGCTGCAAGAGCTGAAGCTTTCCGCAAGTGAGATGACACTTATTCCATGAAAATATGGCTATGGGTACGTGAAACCATTCTTTTACTGTGAAATTTCCTTTTGATACAGATCTCATGCATCTCATAATCCAAAAAACTACCCGCCTTTGCTTTAGCTCAAAAATGCCAAAAATTCCCCTTATGGAATTTCTCAATAATTCTGGGTCGAATGGATCTTTTTTTTTGCAAAAGTCCCTATCTTGAGAGATATCACATGCGTCTTTCCGACCTTTGAGCATGAACTGAAAGAAAAAGGAGATAAAAAGTGTTTAGGATTTCGCATAAAAGAAAGTTAGAAAATATGATTGTATCAATTATATGCCTTAATCTTTATATTTTTGACAAAAATTTTCCTGTCCGTTGTAATCGATTACTGATGGTCATGTTGGCATCCTGGCATATCACTAAATGGTCAAGATAACATTGCTTCGTATAAAAAAAGTCCCCTCCTTCCTCCCCCCCCTACGAGCATAATGGAGAATCGCCTCACTATGTGCGACGAAAAGTGAAGTAGATGAGGTAGGTGCGAAGACTAGGTCGAAGCCTTCGACCGTATAAAAAGTCCCCCTCCCGATTTGAACACTGTCAGAAAATCCAATTCTTTTTATGTAACAATTAGTGCTTCCAGACATTGAAATAATCCAAAACACATTCTTAAAATAGTAGAGTGAAAAATAGCTTAAGTCGTAAACATAGTTGCTTTTGCTCACCCTCTGCTGTGAATATAGTTGGACTATCTTAAGGGGCAGCACTATGATAAGCATGGAAATCTTTACTCTGTTTCCTTAAACTTGCTCGGTTGCCATTGACAAGAGTGAAATAAGAGAAGTTCCTTTCTTTAGATCTTATTTTAGAAACCTATTAAAAAAACAGAATACGAACGTTTCACCTATATGAATGAAAATGACTGGTCAATTCCAAAGATGTGTCGCAAGTGATGCGAGGGAACAGACTTTCTAGCATACAGTAACAAAGCGTTTCTCTCACTTTGCAAGAAGAGGAATTATTTTGACAAACCGAGTAGTGCGTCATGACTTTGGAATTGTCGATATAAAGCAAAGGGCCCAGTCACCTATCATGGATCATAGGCAGAAGCAAAAAAAGAGTTAAGTTAAAGGTTAGATTTTCCTCTCAACATTCAAAACATTGGGGAGCATGGCCGGTCCAGAAAATCGATCAAACGTTGAACTATTCGTCGTAGAAATTGTGAGACGTCCATCATTCAATTATGAATATAGAAGTAAGTAAATGAAGTGCATGAGTATGGGCTTTTTGTAAGCTCAAGTTTAAAATAAGCAAAGAAACATCTTTTTTCGTCATACTTGAAGAGTGGAAAAACACGATCGCCTGTAAATCACAGAATACAAGCTTTTTAAAATACACGAATTTATTCAACCACTTTTGCATATACAGTACTTATATTCACGTTATTGATTTGATGCGAAACATTTTGAGTGTCGTCTTCTATAATGACTAATGCGTTGGGAGTGAAAAGTACGTGTCAATTCTCGAAGGTCCTATGGTTCCCAGTGGCTCGTTTGATTTTTCAGCCACAGGGCTTTCCCCTTCTCTCGAAAGTTCTTTCGCTCTACTGGGTCCAAATATCGCTTCCATCTCCTTTGTGTTAATTTCCATGGGAGACGTTGCCTGCTTCTCTTTTGATTTTCTAGCTACAGGACTTTCCCCTTCCTTTGAAGGTCCATCTTTAGCTCCCATTCCCATAAATTCTTTTGAATCCATGGGCGAAGTTGCCTGCATACCCGGAAGTTCTCCCAATATTTCTGGTTTAATTTTAGCGTCCTTCTTCCTTGCTTTGCTCCGCCTTCTCCGCTTCATGATGATTGTACAAGCAATGATTAGTGGAAGTACAAGAAGCACAACTATAGCAACGGCAATCAAGAGTGTGAGTTTGAGCCTGAAAAACTCTTTACAAAAATAAATTTCTTATATCTTTTTGATCATAAGATAACCAGTGCTGAAACCGATAAAGTGCACGCTTATATAGCAGTGGCATTCTGAAGCCCCCCCCCCCCCGAGAATGGGTCGCGAATTTTTTGAAAGTTACTTATATGAATGAAAATGTGCAAGTAACTTGATTACACTTGTAAATAAATAAATTAATTTTTTAAATTTCTAAAATTCAAATTACTCATAAAAACTTTCGGGGGTGTGACTGGCCACGCCCCCTTTTCCGGATTAAGGTCATGGACCCGCAAAAACTTCGGAAATCATCTCAAAAAATTTTTGGAGTACATTGCTAACGCCACGCACCTTCACTCAAAAAATTTTTTGTCGCCTCCCCCGCTTGGAAATCCTGGGACCGCCACTGGTGTACAGGTATAGTGGACGTAATTAGTCTGGTCCCTTCAACGTCGCGCGCGCTCCACAAAAAGTGATTTTTTTCCTTTTAATTTGACGAAATCTAGCCGACAAGTAAGTTTTCGGCCCAAAAGGCTTCAGAAATGGAAAAACAACATTATGGCGTTACCTAATAAGATGTCAGTGCCATTATGTGCAGTTAATGAAGTGATTAGACTGACTATAATTCAATAAAATCAAATGTATTTGGCCGAAACTTACTTGTTTGACAAAAAGCTTTCTTCACCTTCTTCATATTCATCTTCCTCAATGTCTGGTATTTTTCTTCCTACTTTTGTGTGGCCTGGCTCTTGGGTTTTACGCTTTGTCACTTCAGTTAGACTTTGAATAGTCCAGTTTTCCTTTTTGAATAGCCTAATGCTCGATTCTATAAAGTTTGAGCTCGAGTATTTCTTGAACACCTGAGTTGGTTCAAGTTTTGTGTATAGGCCTATGAAAACAATAGTATTGAACTAGGCAACAAAGAAATAAGGTCCTTCTAAGCAAAAACGCTTTGCAATTGTCAACAGGAACTAGAAAGTCTTGATAGATAGAAAAGTTCTATTGTGCTCGCAGAATTGAGTAGAAAGCTATTTATGGTTTACCTGATAACGATGTGACATGCAAATTCTGTTCACCAGCTTTACGAAATGCAGCGAGACACGTCGTCGCTCAGACGTAAAGGGCCGGGTACACACGCGATTTCAGTCGCGACGCGATTTGGCAATTCGCCAGAAGTCTCCAAATCCGACAGTAGCAAGCTGCACATGTAAAGTGTTTATAGCTTACGTGACTGATAAAAGCCCATCTTCGGTAATTTAAAATGTGCTTACAGTGAGTTATGTGAGTTATGGACAGTTGGAATATTGTCAAATCGCGTCGCGACTAAAATCGCGTGAAGTATGCCCGACCCTTAAAGGCATTGTTCCGGCAGATTTTGACCTCTACCTTTTTGCATGTTTTAGGCCTTTTCGCCACGTAGAATCCGAATTGGAGCTTTGAACGGGCTGAAAAGGCCGATTTTGGGGCGTTTTTCTAATTCCAGAAAAGCAGCTTGGACGAGATTTTTAATGGAAAGTTGGGGGAGGTCCTCAGACGAAGATCCTGCCGCCTGTAATTCTTACTTTGGATAGCATGCATCGTGGGGGAGAGCGCTGGTGGGGTCCCGCGCCGAATAGGCGGGGAAGGCCGTCCAAGCGCGCGCCAGCTGGGGTTGCGCGCGCCGGTTCAAGGGCCATTTTCTCGGTCCAGGGGGAACATCACCCAGCCGGAGTGCGCCTGGAGGTCGATGGGGTGACCAGGAACCCCACCACACGTATATCCGCCACGACCCGAATCTGCCGGGACACTGCCTTTAAGGTGTTTGATCGTACAGAAGGTGAAAAGATGTAGTTAGCTGTGGATGGCATTGACTAAACTATCATTTCCAAAGCTCTTCCACAGGATGGTTCTCCAATGAATGATCTACAAGCTTTTACTCCCTTGCATCAGTATCACCTACTATTACAAAACCTTTGCTTATGGGGAAATGGTCAGAACTTATCAAGCCATTCCATACTAGCTGTATATCATCGAGTTCGTCTTGAAAGGCTAATTTCGAATGTACGTTCTTATCTGCCAAGCGACTATCTGGAAGGAGTTATGAGCGTTTGAATATGGGAAATTCTCCAAGTTTCAACGAATGTATATCCTTGAAAGGTAACCTGATGGCGCAGAATTACAGTGGCTATGGCTAGTTTGATTACGAAGAAGTACATACACCAAAAACCCAAGTGAGTGTTTTTGAGATCTTTTTCGAGGAAGCGCCATAGAACACTTGACAAATCGCACATTTAAACGCTCATAACTCCTCCTCCGAAATGGTCGCTTAGCAGATAATAAACAGCGAGCGATTGGAGAGTGATGATGGTGTTGGTCTAATGAATTTGATGCAAGTCAGCTTCAAAAAACATTTTGTTGAAAGATAGATAGAGGTTCACTTTGCATCACTTTGTTGTGAACACAAAGCGTAGCTAGTAGGGACATGTTTAAAAACTTCGAAAATGTTCACAAACTCAAAATGCCATAATTCTTCTGGATCATCTTATATTATATTTGAAGTGAATTGTACGTATCCTCTGAGCTGCAGCGATGTGAGTTATGATAAGTATTTGGAATTTTTTTCAGGAAGTTGGGTTATCGCGATAACATGGAGCTTTTCGAGCTATTTTTAGAAGCAGTTGCGCTAACGTTGACAATATAATCATAAAAAATCTGTTGTAAGCTTTTACAGATACCTTGTGAAGCATATACGGTACGCGATGTCGACTCTGAGGTTGTTGTTTTCTGTGCTTCTCCGCTCGTTGTTGAAGTTGCTTGCGTAGTGTTCATAGTTGTTGGAGTTGCTTGCGTAGTGTTCGACGCCTACAAGTGATTGCAATCTAATAAATTTTGAAGAGGTGCGAATTTGATAGAATACGATGTTTACATAAGATCGCTGATCTTTTTCTGTTGTCAAATTTCGATCGTCCAAATTCTGTTCTAAAATATATAATTGAGAAGTGAAATTGTTTGACGCCTGGTAGCGGTGTCTGCTGCGTTACATGAAATAATTTCATTACGTTTCTGACAAATTTCGTATTCTTTTCACTGTACCGGTTTCTTACGATCGGTTCATTTGTGATTAGTTCCAAAGCTTGGAAGTCGATTTTTTGGGTTTTTGACAGCTTGCAGTATAGATCCCATCAGGGTGCAGTCTGCTGAACCGCTTTACCGTTTTCTTACTGATGGAATTTTGAAGTAATCTTCTATTGAATTCTGCCGAAGAATTGAAAATCTCAACACCGGATCTGCTTGCATCAAATTTGAAACGGGACGACTGAATTTTTGGCAAACAGAACTCTGTTTGTACATAGCATACCCTTCCTTTCAAATCAAATCTTTCCCACAAAAAGCATGATTCATACTTATACAAACATCCCATATTCTGAGAGTATCGAGGCTTTTTTGAAAAAAACTTAAAATAGAATTGGAATAAAAAAACAACAGAGACGAAAACGATATACGCGGAACAAGAATGAAATTTGATGCATTCTTAGGAAGTTTTTTTGCGCCGAATGCTAAATGTTAGCTTTCATAATTAAAGGGGCACCTCGAACGAAACTCTCTTCACTCCAAACTGCAATCTTTCGAGTAAAATATCTTACAGAGTTGCAGCAACAAAAGTCTAAGCTATTTTCTGTACCCAATGCAGTTCAAAAAAGAGAACCTTAGTTTTCTTAACGGCTCTAAATATTTTTGAAATCCTCCAAACTTTAGCAGCCGGCGCAAAATCATTCTCAAGTTTGCACCGATTTTTATTCCTGTTCAACGTATACCGTTCGGCCATGCTTTTTCACGTAATACCAACGGTATTTTGGGTTTCTTCCAAAAAAGAATATCAAAATATGGGGGGATAATTGCATCGAACTCTTTGTGGGAAAAATTTTGATGTGGAAGGAAAGGCATGTTATGTGAGACTAAGTTGCGTTTGTCAGAGGTTTGGTCAACCTTTGACGCTCAAATTTGAGGCAGACAAACGACCAGTGTTGAATTTTACAACTCATCGTCAGGCAGTTATATTTAATTTACTTCAAAGTTATTCTCGTCGACAATAAAGTTCGTTTAAGAGGCTGCACTTAAATGATCGTTGCTACAAGCTGGTAGGAAGTCTGCCCTTTCCCTGCCAAAATCGTCTTCGTTGCAACTTTGCAAGACCCCATCTGTTCACAATATGGGAAGTGCAAATCGAACAAACAAATCCATATTAGGCCCAGTTATGGAGCAATACAAGCGTTACTTTACAGAATTAGTGCACAGAAAAAAACTAAGATACTTATAAAATCAATTAAAAGTTATATCGAATAGTACGATCGATTTCACGAATAACAACAAGGTTTTCTGCAACATGCTGGTGGCCACTCATTCGGTATGATCTATCAGCTGTTTACTTACGATATTAGTAATTACGCCCCCACAATGGTCGGTCGCCTCATCGTGGCGTGGGGGTGACACTGGGTGTCGAACTGCGATGCACAGCCGAGTGTATACTCTGGTAGGGCCTCCCAAGCTGTGAAGGAGTTCGACGTTTCCGGTCTCGGCCGGATGCCTAGCTAAGAACTGGCCGCGCCAGATTCTCCGCCGTCTGGCTTCTTCTGGTCGCTAGGCGGTCCCTCCCCGCTCCAAGCCCGGGGTCAGCGATCACCCCGTGGAAATCAAGAGTAGGCCTAGTAAGCCACCTCTTGTAGGGGAACAAATTTTATTATTCAGACAGCAAGAAGATTTAGAAAAAACCCTGTACATCGGATCCCGCCTACGGCGCCGGGTGGTAGCAAGAACGATGTCAGGGCGCCTTTCGGATTGGACAAAAACGACACGTCTGCCCGGACGATACGCCATGGAGACTGCCTCATGCTCTGCACTTACAACGCCAGGACAGTCTCCACAAACGCCGACCTCCACGCTCTTCTCGACGCTGCAGAGCACATCAACTACCACATCATTGCTCTGCAGGAAACGAAGTCCAGGAAGAAGGACGTGCGACAGATGAGTGATGGGACCCTCATCATTCGTGGTGAAAAGGTTCCATCACGAAACGTGGGAGGCGTCGGCTTTGTCGTCCACCCATCTATCGTCCATCTTGTCGATTCGCACGAGATCCTATCACCTCGACTAGGCATCCTACGACTACGACCTCCACATCAGAAGACCATCAGCATCATCAACTGCTATTCTCCAACATCAGCAGCTGACGAATCAGAACTAGATGCTTTCTACGAAGATGTGGAGGAGGTCGTCCGCAACGAGAAGTCCTTTTACAAGTTTGTTGTGGGCGACTTCAACGCGAAAATCGGGATGCCACTGGAAAGCAAATATAGGATCGGGAAGTTTGGATATGGGCTCCGGAACGAAAACGGCAACCGTCTTGTTGGGCTTCTCTCCGCCGCACGACTTTTCCATGGAAATTCCATCTTTATGAAGAAGGAACATCGCCGGTGGACATGGGAATCGCTAAACGGAACGATCCACGCGGAGATCGACCACATTCTCACCAACCGAAGGTGGAGCTTACTCGATGTCTCTGTAGTTCCATCCTTCTGTAGTGGCTCCGATCACCGCCTCCTTCGAGCGAAGATACGACTCAGCCGAAGGCTGGAAAAGAAAGTCTGTCATAGTGCCGCGAGAAGGAAGGAAGTCGTTTATGACGGTAACAGGCTGGAAGAGCTCATATCAAGTTGTGACTGGCCCATCGAGGAGGACCCAACGTACGACTACGACCGGCTTCTGAAAGGATTGCGAGCCTGCGGAGAATGCGCCTCAGTGACTTCTGAGAAGAACTTGGACCGCATCTCGAAGATCACCAAGGAATTGCTCGAAAGAAGAAGATCATTGAGGCAGGATCCGAATGCAACTCATCTCGAGCGACTGATTGCCAACACCAGTTGCAGAACAGCTTTGCAAGAGGATCTCAGGAAGTACAGGCAAGCCAAGATACTGGAAGCAGCAGAAAGAAGACGAAGTCTCAAGAAGTGCCGAAGGGACCTCTGCGAATATCACGTACCGCTGGCTGCACTACTGAACGAAGACGGGACTCCGACTTCTTCCCGATACAAGATGGAATCTATCGCGAAGAACTTCTACACCAACCTCTTCCGCTCATCAACACCCGTGCAGATGCCCGTTGTTCCCACTGGAGAAGTACCACCACGAATTCTACCTGCTGAAGTGCGCACGGCGATCCAGACCATGAAGACGTCCACGGCTCCAGGACCAGATCATCTTTCCGTCGAACTTCTGCGAGCCGGAGGACACCGTCTACACGAGATTCTAGCGTCGCATTTGACATCTTACCTTCAGAAGGAGAAGATTCCCGACCAGTGGAGAACGTCAAGAACCGTCCTTCTCTTCAAGAAGGGTGAACGGGAGGATCTTCGGAACTATCGTCCAATATGCTTGCTGAGTGTGCTGTACAAGCTTTTCACGAAGATTATCCTCGCTCCCATATCAAGGACACTGGATGAAGCCCAACCCCAAGAACAAGCTGGATTTCGCAAAGGATTCAGCTGCATGGACCATATCCAGACCGTTTCGAGGGTCATAGAAGTCTGCCGGGAGTACCGACTGCCTCTCGTCCTAACCTTTGTCGACTACGAGAAAGCCTTCGACAGCGTCGAAACCAACGCCATCCTGTCTGCGCTAGTCGATCAAGGAGTGGACCCAGCTTACGTGAGGACGTTAGCCGACTGCTACAAGGACTGTACAACGACGATGCAGCTATTCCATCGCCCCCTGACCATACCAATCGGGAAGGGGGTCCGACAAGGCGACACAATCTCGCCGAAGCTGTTCACCGCGGCCTTGCAGTGGGTGATGAAGTCACTGGACTGGGACGAGAGAGGCATACGAGTTGATGGGAGATTCCTGTCCAACCTTCGTTTTGCGGACGACATCGTTCTCTTCTCGAGCAGTATCACCGAAGCAGAGACGATGCTAAAGGAACTAAACGAAGTAGGGAAGAAGATCGGACTGCGAATAAATCGGAAGAAGACTCAGTTCATGAAGAACGCCCTTTGCGAAGATGCAGAAATGGAATTGGAAGGCACCCCTATCATGGAGACGTCTTCTTACGTGTATCTCGGACGTTCGATGAACATGGAGAACGACTTGAGGGAAGAACTCAATAGGAGAAGAAGAGCAGCCTGGGCCGCCTTCGGGCCCCTGAAGGAAGCCACCGACCAACTGACGGACCCGGAGCTTCGTGCCCACCTGTTCGACTCAACCGTTCTCCCGGCGCTCTGTTACGCAGCTGAGACTTGGGCCGACACCGTAGCCACGTCGAAAGCTCTACGGACCACCCACAGAGCGCTCGAGCGCAGTCTTCTGAAGATGACCCGACACAAGCAACATCTAGTCGGACTTCGCAGCACGGATATGAGAAGAATGTCCCGTCTTCGTGACCCAGCGGAATACGTTGCGAAAGCGAAACACCGATGGGCCGGTCACATAATGAGAAGAACAGACGACAGATGGACACTAAGAACATCGGAGTGGATTCCTCGCGAAGCCAAACGTCCCCGAGGAAGACCTCCAACGAGATGGGCAGACGTGTTCGTGGAACGGATGGACCAGCTGAGAAATCAGCTGGATACAATTTTTGCACCTGGAACTCGTGGACGCAGCCACCGACGTCAGCCAAGAAGATCGTGGATGTCAGAAGCGAGGGACAGGGAAAAATGGAAACTTCTGAGCTGGGGCCCGCACGTCACGTGAAGCCGGGCCATCTAAGTATCTAAGTAAGTAAGTAAGTATTAGTAATTACGAAAAACATAAATAAACCCGAATACATGTCTCGA